GTGCGAGCAGAGCGCTTTGTTTGACGGGGACCCCTCAATCGAGAGTCATCGCCGCCGTACCGAGATAGGCAGAACACCCAACTCACGATGAGACGTTCACGCTGCGGAGATAGGACCACGACCGTGGTCCTTATCTGTAACCGACCAGGTAACCACCCCGGTCACTCGGCCAGTTCTCTACACTACCGGCCACAACAAATAACGTCGAGCTACCACTTCCAACAATATAAAAAGCGTATGAATGAGCATACAAAACGTGCAAACAAGCATACATAAGTAAACAAACGAGCACACACAAACACTTAGCAAAATAATGAATTTTTATAAACGAACATTAATCCAGCTATCAAGAAATTACAAGAAAGGGCACGCAGCCCGAGCAACAGTCAAAATAAAAATCAGGCACGCAAGCCGAAATAGTTTGGCACGTAGGCCGACAAAATAAAAGGGGCACACAGACCACCATCCCCTAATCAACATGATCCTCCTTGTCTTGGGAGGCTTGGTCTTCCTCGTCATCCTCGGGTCCTTCGGGTGCAACAATGTGTTCGCCTTGGATCTGATGGTAGGGGTCAGTCCCTTCGGTCACCAAATCCACGTCGGGGTTGGTAAGCCGAAGCTGGTCCACGACGCTCTTGAAACCCACCTTAACGGCCCCCAAGCAGTCGTCCTCCAGCATTCGGATCTTCTCCACTAGCTCCCGTTGAGAAGCCAACAGCCTCTCCTCGTCAGACTATTCCTCAACAGGAGCAACCAGACCCTCAAGCTCAACAATCCGACCCCTCATCCCGGCTAGCTCGTCTTCCCCGTCCTTCATCATCTTCTTGAGCTCCTCGATCCGCTCACGATGGACTTTGTCCTGCTTTTGATACTCCCTCTAATCGACAACCAGCTTGGGCCGAACTTCCTCGGATACCGCCAGCTCACCCCGAATGGTAGCTAAGTCCGCCGAGGAGTACTCTTCCTCGTTCAGCACGAGGGTCGTCTCGAACGCTCTCACCATCGAAGCCAGGTCATCGGGCAACATTTTCCTCCGAGCCTCCTTGCTGGCAACTAGGATATTCCTCGCCTGTTCAGGAGCCACAACAAGGACATTCTCCCCTATAAAGAAATTGGGCCGGAGACAACAAGAGGGAAGAACAAAACGCCTCTCCGGGGAGCCGTCCGTCAAGTCGATCGGGGGCGTTTCAATCTCTCGTCGCCTCTTCGTGGCCGGGGAGCCACTACCTTGCGGAGACGAAGCCAACCCCGCCGGTCCAGCACCAGACTCCTTCCTGACGGCAGCGACCCTCCCCGAGGGACATCAGACACCCATCTTTAGCAACTTCGTCACGCGTTCTTCCATCGAACCCATAACACTTGCAAGGAGAGCACAAGAAAACAATTAGTACAGAAAGCCAAAATAGAACAAAGGAAAGCCGAGGAAGCAACCCACTACCTAAAAATCGAGGAGCCTCTGCCTCGGTCCGGCACTCGAGGAGGGCCCTCGTATTGATGCACCTGGTCTCGGTCAGGATCTCCCCATCAGCATCGCGGATGTACGACCCATCCGGGGTCACGCACTTACGAGGGGGAAGACGCCCGACGAAGTCAACCAATTTCTTAAAAGCCAGGCTATCCTCCTCGCCCAGGCAGTTAGGTCGGTAGATAAAGCTTTCTGTACTAGAGAGAAAGTGCAACTCCATCCACTCTAAGGGGAAATGGGACTCGAAGCTCTCCACGAACTCGCCGTCCACGACGGTAACCTCTTTCCAGAATATTGTATTGACGACCTCATCTGTCTCCAACATAACCATGAACCACCTATCCTTGAACCCCCGAACATAGTCTGTGTATGCCCGGAAGAGCCTGGCCGGTTGCTTCAGGGAGACCTAGTTATGTCGACCAGTCACAGTCTGTCGCTGCAAGTGGAAGACACAGAAGAACAACAGTATGGTGGCCCCGAGCTCGAGATAATTGCAGACGATCTCGAATGCACAGAGAAAAGTGAGAGAGTTGGGGTTAACTTGAGACAACGTCAGCATTAGGTGGTCGAACACTCCCTGTTGAAAGTCTGTGAATGGCAGACGCATCCCCGCCTCCTTGAACGCAAATTTGTACACAGGGAATCGGCCTCCGTCGTAGCGAGAGCAAATACGGTCTAGTTCCCGAGACCGACATACTCAAATTAACGAGGAGCCCCGACCTATCTATCTTCAATAATGGCAAAAACATCTGAATCGTTGAGCACAAATCGAGACATATAATTGAGGGGGTTCCTCCCCGACCCACTCCCCGACCGGCTTGTCCGGAGGATCCACAACGGCCTCATCTTGGCGACCCTTTTTGTCGTCAGACAGATACCACATCGTTTCCTATTCTTCAGGGGCATCCATTTACCTGAAAAACAAATGAACTTGGTGAATTCGACAGCCAAATCAAATCCACCTTTCCACCGCAGTTCAAGTGAAAGAGTGTGGACGCCTGGGCGCCCAGAAGACCATTTTGGGGTAACCCGACCCTCCAATGTGCCTGGGGAATGCAATCTTTTATCCCCGACACCCTTACCAATTGTGTCTGAGGTATTCATCAACTACCTTCGGGACATTCAACGTTCATCGATCCTCCCTGGGCCGCTCATCGCAGGGGCCGGGGACGGTCAATCAAAACCATAATTTTGAAGGACTCTTCGGTGTATTCGCCGGAAAAGCCCACGGTCTCCCCGACTCCCCCGTCAGAACCGCCGGGAGCACCGCCAGAAGTACTAAAAAATACCAGTAAAGAGGCAGAGACTTACATGATACGACGGAAAAAAGCGGTTGCGTCGAGCAGAAAGACTATAGGCGTCGAGCAGAAAGATTGTAGGAGTCGAGCAGACAACTCAGAAGGTCAAACAATAACAAAAGGAACGAGTGAACAAAAAGATGAGCTGAGCCTACGTATATATACACCCTAACATAAGAAACAAAGCGTCTTTAGGCACTCAAGTTCCTAGCCCGTAGCTTCCGTAGGGTGACACGTGGTGACCCTTAACCTTCCCTACGTCTCTTTAGATTCCCCTTCTCGATCGCGGGCTTCCCCCACTTCATAGGCTCGCTCGACCAGTACAGCCGTGGCCTGCCCGACATAGCGAGATGCTCGACGCTTTTTGCACCTTAAGTCATAGCTCGCTTGACCGCGAGCTACGACTTGGGGGGATATTGTTCTGGACTGGGCCAACGCTTGGTCCATAGTCGAGCAGACCCAAACCCCACTAGGTTGGAAGGCCCAATAAGACCTCATCGGCGGGCAGAGACCTGTCATACAGAACATCTTCTCCCGCCAGGCACGGGCCAACGACAGTTGGGCAGGATCCTTATATCTGCCCGACTTGCCTCTCTTCTGCCCCACGGTCGGCCAGAACCCATCCAGCTCGGGAAGCTCCTCTGACCTCCCTCACGTTCTTAATGTGTCCCCTACGCGGAGACACGTCATCAGGTAACTATCCGTGTCTTGATTATTCGGTCCTCCACCTCCCGGATAGCATGGAACAATTACACTAGGGAGAATACCACATGCTGGTCTTCACGACGCCATGTCAGCCCTAGCAGTTACCAGCGTTGGGCCTGACCCCCAACGCATAGTAACCGTTGGCCCTGCGTTGGGGGCTCATTATAAATACCCTCTTCCACTAGAGGGTCAGGTAAGCTAACTCTTACTCCTTTCTCTCTGTACTTGTTATCACTCTGCTCGTTCCTTACTTTGACATCAGAGTGCGTTTCAGGTACACCTCCTTCCCTCTGTCCGTCAAGTCAATAGTTCGACAACTCAGACGCGTAGCCGACTAACAATTTCTCTGTTCAGATACAATCAAATAGTATAATATATTTTTAAGTATATCAAAAATTCAGTTGTTTAATGAAAATAAATTTTTATTTCGAGTTCTAACACAACCTTTTTAATTATATGCATTTTGTTTAAATTTTGTTTTATAATCCTTAAATTGTGAAAAAATTGTTGCAAATTGGTGATTTAATTACAATTGTTTTTAGCAGAGAGACTTACCAATCAAAATAATTTGTATCTATCACCTAAAATATTAAGTGTTTTTCTGTAAAAAAAAGTTCCTATTTTCACATAGAGACACTAAGAAAAAGGATTCAATATACCCCCTCCTCCGATCTTCTTTATAAATGTACAAACAAAATTCTTCTAATTTTTTTAGTCTTACATATAACAAATGTCAACAATTTATCCACTTTTAAATATTTTACTCTAAAATAGTCTCTGCATTAATAATTTACTAATGTTAACGGGTGGCATTTAATTTAAGATAGATAAACAATTGTATTATTTATTTTATATAAAATAAAAAAATTAAATAAATTTAATTATGACTTTTTTTTGTTCAATAGAAGAGTTGTTGAATTCACATTTAAAAGGTGGATAAATTGCATGGTGCGGGTTGGTCCCTACAGCAGATTCGTCCCTACCGCTAATAAACATGAAAGTGGAGTATATTTTTTTCTTACTGAAATTATTTTGCAAGTAGTTTTAGTTATTAATTACAATAGTTAAAATAAAAAACTAAACATGCTCTAATTAGAAACAGATCTGACATAAACTTGATGTAAATATATGATCGATGATCCCTCACAATCGGTAAATATTTCAAACTTATAAAATGGTTATTATTATTATTAAAATAATTTAAAAATAATTTCAGAATCAGACAAGAAACTTGAGCTTTTAAAAGTTTCCACGTCCATTTATGGGGAGCTTTCAACGGGGCCACACAGGACTTTATACATAAAAAGCAAATAAGTAAAAGCAATAGGATTCAAGGAGCATCTGCATTTTGGACGAGTACGAACTTCAAATCAGAAACAGTAATTTCTTTGCACCTTCTTCCTTTAATTCATTCTAACAAATTTTCATTTCATTTTTTACATTATTTCATAATCTCTCTCTATGTCTGTGTTTATAATATAGGTTTTGATTTTAGGATTTGAGCATTTTCGAATTGAAAGAGGTGTTTAACAATGGACTCTGGGAAATTGATCGGATTCGTTGGTTTGGATGAAATCGGATTGCAGATCGCGGCGTCGCTTTTTCGCCATGGCTACTCTATTCAAGCTTTCGAGGTTTCTTTTATCTCTCTACACTCTTCAATTTTGATCTTCTCATTGCAAATCACAACGTACTAGAGAGAATGTTCGAATATATAATTCACTCTTTTCACATTCACGGTCAATTTTGCTACTAAACTCTGTAACATAAACAAAGGAGAAAAATATACGGAACTTCATGGCATATATAATGTGTGTTTAATTTAAGCTTCACTCATATATTTGTAATTACTGTTCACAAATATAGTGTATGATAATTTTTTTTTTTTAATTTTAAGTTTTTATTTATTTATTTATTTTTTTCTGAAACAACTTTCGCTAATAGTATATTAAAGCTTGATTGAATTAGGTTAATATTATGTACTTTATTATTTAATGAAGTATTGCAATTGATTAATAAATTATAAATAAAATAAGTGGTTATAATTTTCGTGGTTAATGCAATTATGAAATTGATTAATGATATAACTTTGTATTTAAGTTACAAAATAAATTAAATACATTTTTTTATAAATAATATTAAAAAAAAAACAAAAAGAAAACACTGTTTACCGTTACCATATAAATACACTGTGTTATTGTAAATATTTGGTGTCCAATAATACTATCTCAAGATTGCAATGCTCCAAAAATATACGTAGTTTGTTGCTTTTATCATGTACTATTATTTCCATCATATCATAGGTATAACATTAAATTGAAAAATTAATAAAAAATTCATACTCATAATATCATATTTATAAGCTCAAAAAATTGACATGCACACACTGGGGCTCACACATCGAACTTGATACTATTTTTTGAGATGATTCTTGAAGAAGTTTAGCTAAGTAGCTTATAGATTTTTATTTTTTTTTCCCTCCATTTTGATCCTTTTTATTTTATTAATTCTTTATCCTTGTTTTAAAAGTTGAAATAAAAAGAAACTCTTAATAGTTTCCCTAAATATCTGGGCACAACCTTTTAATTGACATAAGTTTTTCTGTAGATAAGTGATCCCATCATGATAGAACTTGTCAAGATTGGAGGAATTAGATGTGCAAGTCCTTCGGAAGCAGGGAAAGGTAATTCTTATTTCAGCTATATCATATTTGACAACCTTTGTTATCCTTTACATGGTTTGACAACCTTTGTCCCGGTTTGTTGCATTAGGCCATTTAATTTGAGTTAAAAAAGTTGTAAGATAAGATATTATCCAAATTTAATAACTTATTGTGCTTTTAAAGTCAAATGCTGGATATAAACTTCAATAATGCGTATCTTTTTCTCACTTGCAGGGGTAGCAGCTTTAGTTGTTCTTATATCTCACCCAGATCAGATTCATGATCTGATTTTCGGGGATGAGGGTGTTTTAAAAGGTCTATACGGAGCCTTGTGACATTAGACATTATTTATTTTTAAGGATCTTGATTCATTTAAAAACTTTTTTTTTTTGAATATGCAGGTCTAAAACAAGATACAGTTCTTATTCTTTGTTCAACCATACTACCATCAGCTCTCCATAAACTGGAGAAAGATTTGGAAGGTAACACGCACTTTCTATGTTTTTGGCGAACTAAAATGCTTGATTCTTTGTAAAAGGAGTTCCTAACAATGATGCTTATTCATCTGCATTCAGAATGCATAATTAGCCCTTTGATCATTTTAGCAGTTCTCATGTTAGTTGATCATGTGAGGATATGGTATGAAGCTATCGGAATTTTTTGGGTCAATGACTCAATATGATGCATCTGTTAATACTGCTTTATGTTTCCTACAGCTTAAGTCAAACAACATCAAGGTCTACAACCGAAAGCCCAAATTTTCAGGGCCTGCTTTAGAGTAATCTTAGGTGGAAAATAGGAAAAGAGGGAAGAGTTAGTTACAAAGAGAGAAGGTGGTAACGAACTGAGTCTGTTACATAAGGTGGGAATGAATAATCTGGGAAGGGCATGAGAAGGGTTACGTTTGTAATTGGGAGTCTAGAGGGCACACTCTGAGTTGAGAACTTCGGAATTCCTTACCACCTTCTCTGATATACCAACTAAAACCATTGCACGCTAAATTTACATGTAGTCTGGAATGATATGTTCAAACTTATGATTATTTGGGAATTCAGTGATAGTGGGTTACTGCTCAAAAGTAACCGATTTTGTTTATCCTGTAGAATTTCAGAAGATAGCTTATGTTGTTGATGCATATGCCTCTTATGGGAGGTCTGATGCGTTGAATGGAAAAGTCACCGTGAGTTATTGTCTTATATTTATAACATGTTGCAAGTCTTGTTAGCTAAGAATAAAGTTCCTGATTTTGATCAACTGCTTAATGATCCTATCTTGCATCGATTATTGCTGCCTGTGCTACTTAGATTGTATCATCTGGAAGATCAGATGCCATTGCAAGAGTACGGCCTCTTCTTTCAGGTAAAGTTTTGAGACCTGTTTGGATATACAACACACAAATATGATATGCCATAAAAATAAGTATCTTTTTCCCCATCATGCTAGTTAATATTTGCTTTTTGTTGACAGCAATGTGTGAAAAGCTGTTCACTTTTGAGGGTGAAATGGGTGGTGGCAGGTGCATATTCCTTCTTGCCCTTGCTAAGTCTAATGTTTTCATTATGTAAAATCTTTAAATGCCCAAGTTCTATATATCCATATCTTGCAGAGCCCCCCACCCCTAAAACAATATTGCAAAATACCATGCCTCATGATTTACTTAGATAGCACTCCTATATTACTACAAAAAAGTTACTGTTTACTATATTGTGTTCTATTCGGTGTTTTTAATTTAAGTTTTTTTACCACTCTTTCATTGCAGTAAGGCTAAAATGGTTTCTGTAATGCTGGAAGGAATTCATTTCATTGCTTCTGTGGAGGCTCTTTCTCTTGGTGTAAAAGCTGGAATTCATCCATGGATAATCTCTGATATAATTTCTAATGCCGCTGGAAACTCATGGTATGTGCTTAGTCAATATGATACTGCTAACTTCACATTAAACAAATTCTTGCACATAGTCGTACGGAGTTACAATTGTTGAAGTTTTGTACTATATTTATTAAAAGAAAATGTTTATTTGAAAAAAAGTTTTTTGAAGGCAGGATGTGTGACAACAATATTAAGAAAGGAGGCTTTCCATTATTACAAATGTTCTTTGATGTCTATAAACCAAAATATCCTGATTTCTGCACAAATAGAGTGCTGATAATTAAAACATGCCATGTACAATTTTGTTCAAATATTCTCTAGTTGCAACCCCCTCCCTCTCAATTATCGGAAGGTGGTTATATTTCATTTATTTTACAGGGTATTCAAGAATAACGTTCCACTTTTGTTAAAGGGAGAGGTTAAGCATCAAATTCTTAACACTTTGATTAAGGAATTGGTAAGATCTTTAGAGTCAGAGAAGTAACTCACTTTTGAATTTCTTATTACTTTTGAATTTCTTATTAAATTCCACTTTCAAATTTCTATTCCGCGGTAATGAAATCTCTTATTACTTTTTAGTTGGAAAAGAGTCACATTATTGGATTAATTTGGTTCTTTTTTTCAAAATCAGTGTTTTGTTTATTTTACAGCAGCGCTTCTTGTTGTTGTTATTCTTTTCTAAACATTTCTTGAAGGTAACTGAATTTGCTTTTATTCCAGGAAGCAATTTTGGATATGGCCAAGTCACTTACTTTTCCACTTCCACTTTTGGCGACAACTCACCAACAACTTATTCACGGTACGAAATCTAGTAAACTATGTAGTGCGCTTTTGCTGTCAAGTTTACAAAAAAAGCAATCCATCTGCAGCAGTAGTTTAGCAAATTCATTTTTTCAGGGGTTTCACATGCTTGTTTCGAAGGCGATGGTGACACAACATTAATTAAGGTTAATTTCATATATATCTGTTTGAGTAGTTTCAATCAGAAGTTACTGTTTTTTGAAGTTGTAGTGTCTTTTCTTTACTGTTAGAAATAAAGTAAATAGAAACATTATGGGCTGATTTTTCCTTTTATATTATCATGTGATTATCGTGACCATAGATCTTTGTGATTGTATTTATAATATCCTTCGTGTGTTCTTAATACATGATTTCATCATATGCCTTTTGTTTCTCTTATCTTTCAAAAATGAACTTGATTTTTCTCCTAATTCATTATCATGACAGATTTGGGACAATATTTATGGAGTGAAAGTTTCAGATGCAGCAAACGGAGAAGCATATAACCCTGAGCAAGTTGCATCTGAAATCATTGCATCTTCCAAGAGTGCGAAGCGGGTTGGTTTTATTGGTCTTGGAGCTATGGGATTTGGCATGGCAACTCATTTGGTCAAATCAAACTTCTCCGTTTTCGGTTATGATGTAATCTCTCTTTGGGATCTTAATCTCTACTGCATTAAATAAGTTTTAAAATTGCTGTAAAAGTTGATAATGGTATCATAATAGTGAGTTAGTGACTGTATCCATCAATGATGCAAAATTTTGTCCACTTTATCAATAGCATTGGTATTTAAAATGAAGTTTCCCGTTGGAATGAGTACTATAAGTATCTTTTCAAATCCTTATTTTTATTTTTGCATCTAGGTGTATGAACCAACTCGAATCCGATTTTCAGATGCTGGTGGCTTTATTGGAAATTCTCCAGCGGAAGTCAGTAAAGGTAAATTGATACATACCATACTATATAGTATATACCCAAAAAAATGTAGTTATCTATAGACCTAGAAATGATCTTGTAATGTAATGAATAATAAGATTAAAAGTGACTTTTCTTTCATGTGTAAGACTAAAAAGGCCTGAAATTTTGGCACTGACACTAGGAACTGTTTTTCAACCGTATAGCATGTAAATGTAAATGAAGCCAAACTTTACCATATTTTGTTCTAAGTGCATTATGTTTTCTGTAGAGGGATCCATTAACAGAATACTCATTCTGTGATGAATTTTAAAACTGATGATTTTGTGAGAAGTTCTTAACTCTTGATATGCTAGTTCACTAGTCATATAGTTAACTATACCAGTTGTTATTTCTTCTGGTTACCACTCACCACCCATGGGCCATGGCCAACAGGTTAAAATCGAATCAGTTAGTAAATGTAGAGTTCACTGAAATAAAATTTATAGCATCCATCAATCAAGTGACTTATTTATTGAGAGCTTCAATAAATCAATCTATCTAATAGCTTATTATCATTTCATTGTGTGCTATTGTTACCACAAAAAGTAGGCTGGCGAACCATTCAATTATTTACTCATTTGTTGCTCATAGGTCATAACTTTGATTTTTGTACCATTTTCGTAGTTGGTGTTTCTTAAACTGAGAGTACAGCTGAACGGATTAGTACAGCCTGTTTTATTTGGAATCTAATCATTTTTAGCATCAAGAATATTCTCCAGGGTTCTTGTACTATTTCTATGTTCTTGGTTTTGTATTTGTCCATTTTGTGTATTCTAGTTACTACAATTACAAGCTCTTCCACTAAAAAACTGATACAAGCATTCTGCATTATATGTAATGAAGAAACAGGTCGGGAATATCGCAAAATGTTAGTAAAACTTAAATGGTGTAGCTATTAGAACCAAGATCTTCTATGTAAGCTATTAAAGTGCAGAACGATCTTTGGTGATAATTAGCTTTATGCATGATCATAAAACAAATAAGTTGCCTTTGACAAATATTGATCCCGTTTATTTCCTTTTGCTAAATGGTATTTTTTCATGTAAATGAGTTTGCTAGATTCATACAAATAAAAATATGTCAATCACATTTCAAGTCCTCTACATCAATCCATTATTCATATGTTATTGCTTCCAGATGTTGATGTTCTCATAATCATGGTCGCGAATGAACTTCAAGCAGAGAATGTTTTATATGGAGAATATGGTGCTGTTTCAGGTGCGCATATGTATCTTAATTGCCCTTATTATTATAATTATATGTTCTTTTAACTGTACTGATCCTTCTTTCTGCACTACATAGTTCTTCCTCCGGGTGCATCTATCATTCTCTCTTCAACAGTTTCTCCGGCATATGTGAGTCAGCTAGAGCGTAGATTGCAAAGTATGTTACTACTCCTTTGTGATGATTATCTAATGCATATTATGATTCTGAAGTTATTTTTTCATTTCCTTTTTTATGCAAGAGAAAATTGAATTTTGGGTTTGTCAACTCCCAAATGTTATTCCGGGCTTGGTTTTTTGTGAATAAATTATGCGACAAACAAGTAGAAGAAAACTTAAATTGCAAAGTTTATTAGCCTAGTTGTAAATTGTTTGAATATATAATAATAAAGTAGGCAAAACTAGTATAATTCAATAATTGGGTTAAGGTTTCTGGCCAAGTATGAGACATGAAGGTATGCTATGTTTTAGAAAATCTTCTAGATTAATGTTAGCTTCAGCTTGATTGGTGTTGTGCAAAATGGATAAGTATACCATCCTGCTAGCTTGTATTTTCAATTAACAAGTGTCCTCTCGCACTTGCAAATACCCTGAAGAACTGTGCACGTTAAAAACGGACAGAAATAGACTGTTTCAATTATCCCAGTGTGACACTGAAGTTTGTACTGTTACAAATCATTGAATAAAATTTCTGGACATTGAACACTCCTCATCTCTGAAGTGTGGTTTACCGTAGCTATATAGTGTCTATATCTTGATTTGATGCACTTGGCTAGAAGTTTAATGGTGATGCTTAAAGCTCTTAGGGAAATTTCTCTATGTTTGTTTTCTCCCCATCAAATATATATCAAATTCTTAAAAAATGTGATAATACTAGTCTAAATGTGCAGAATGGACTATGTTTTTATGATCAAATAGAAAAATGTGTGTGTATATAAGTTTGTACACAATTACTTTTTGTGAGTTTAGTTACTGTGCACTGACAATCCACATGATATAGTAGATATACATAAATGCAATTTGTGGATTTTTTTATTTGAACCTTGGTCATGGTTGCCCGTATGATACTCACAAGGAATATCATTTCTTTTTCTGAATGCTTTTCAGAGGTAATTTACAGCATGCTTTTATTCATTCAATGAAGGAATTAGCTGTCTAATTGTTAATTTTTAACATGAAAATAACACAGATGGAGGAAAAAGTTTAAAGTTGGTGGATGCCCCTGTTTCTGGTGGTGTTCAGAGGGCATCATTGGGAACACTTACGGTATTAAGTACATCTTTGGTTTTTAGTTAAATTGATCTTTTGATTTTTTGAACCGAGCCACTGAAATCATGTATATTTCTCAGATAATGGCTTCAGGGACTAATGATGCTCTCACGAGTGTCGGTAATGTCTTAGCAGGTAACAAGTACTTAGCATAGAAGTAAATAATGTTAATACTGTATCTGGGTTAACAGATTTCTGAAGTAGTTTTCTGGCTAATTCATGTTAATTCTTTTTAACCAGCCATGAGCGAAAAGCTTTATATTATCAAAGGTGGTTGTGGTTCTGGAAGGTATTGTTCAGTTTTATAAGTCAATAATTCTTTATCCATTTTAGTCCTTTGTCGCATACTAGTGCTACTTAGTTGAGTGAATGAGATAACATTAGTTCAAACAAATGTATATATCATTTCAGTCTATTTTGTTTTCCAGTGGTATAAAGATGGTTAACCAATTGCTAGCTGGAGTTCATATTGCATCAGCTGCCGAGGCAATGGCATTTGGAGCAAGATTGGGTTTGAATACCAGATTATTGTTTGATTTTATTACAACTAGCGGGGGAACATCCTGGTATGTTTCTTCCATGATGTGATCACTTTCTCCTCCCTCCTCTTCCCTTGGCCAAATAAGAAAAATAAGGAACAAAATCAAAGTCATTCAAATATTTTCATAAACCATCTTTTGTAGTTATGAGTCTGTTCATGGCTTCTCTTCCCTACTCTCCTCATGGCTATTTCGTCACAGATCATCGTTTATTTTCAACTCTTAATTTGGAGGACTTCTTATTATGTCTCCTGTTTCAGGATGTTTGAAAATCGCGTTCCACACATGCTAAACAATGATTACACACCTTATTCAGCACTTGATATCTTCGTGAAGGATATGGTAAGAAATAATCTATTTTTCTCTCTCTATGTTTAGTAGGGGCACTGGGAGATACATGATATGGATAACATTTTAAGAATTTTTTTTTATTGAATATGTTTTCACATTCAGGGAATCGTTACTCGTGAATCTGCTTCCTTAAGAGTTCCACTTCAACTATCAACTATAGTCCACCAACTGTATCTGTCAGGTGCTGGATATTACTTATGAATTTTATGATGTGTTTTTCACTTCAATTTGGTCGTTCTGAATGCAAATTTTTATTAATTTTTTTTAATAAAGCCTAATCCTTCGCGGAAGGGGATAGGAAGCCTTATTTCAAATCACATTAAACTAAAGGAAGAAAAAAAAGAGGATGGAGATGAACTTGTCCATATGATGGATGAAGGGTGACGCATTTAGGATCTATTTACCCATGCTCTTATTTAAAACGAACCTCATCCTTTTCCACGGAGTGGCATTGTGATACTGCAGAATACAAGTATACAACACTTGTCTTTATACATCCTAGTTTGTTAGTTTCCTTCTAAAGATCAATCCGATTTTTGAGAAATGAAATGCCCTATTTTGAGTGGATCACTTCAATCCTAAGGAAATACTTGAATTTCCCAAAGTCTTTCATCTCAAATTCTGGTGCTAACTTCTCCGTGAGCATTTGCCTGTCAATCGGATCTTCTCCTTTGATAATAAGATAATCGACATATACAAAAATACAATTAGCTTACCTCCCTGTGAATGTTAGTTTGCCTCCAAGATCGGAAGCTTTTGATACCATATGAAAATAAAATTCTGATTATTACTGAATTAATCATAGATACAAGCTCTAATATGGATGACTGCTGCTAGTAAATAAGAATCAAGAAAATAAGGAAATACAATATTATTTACAACAATATTCAAATTATTGATTCCTGTTGTAAATATTAGACTGTAAATAGTAATTAGTAGTATTAGTAATGAGGCCCATTAGTCAAACTCCATTAGGGTTTCTATTCTCTCTTATTTAAAGCATGTAGTTGCAACATTGTAAATAGTACTTTTAATTCTATCAGTGAAATATTTTACAATATGGTATCTCAGCTCCTGTTTTTTGGGGGTCTCGCTTCCGCATAAACCCTAGCCGCCGTTGTAACGGTGTTTTTTTGTTTCACTGCCGGTCATCCTTGCAGTTTTTTTGGGTGTTTGGATCATTGCTGTTTTTTCATTCTATTGCAGTTCTATTGCAACCCTACTGCTTGTTTTTTGGTTTCTTTGTATTCTTTGTGATTCAATACATATCTGCTGTTTGTTCCTCTCGATTGTCCCTTCAATGGCCGAGATTATTAACCAACAACCACCTCCGCCTCCGCCTCCACCTCCCACAAATCCACCGCCTCCACCTCCCACAAATCCACCAGTCCCATTTAATGCTAAGGATTTTGTCGTTCAAAAAGGTTACTGGCTTACCGGAAAAAATTATTTTCAATGGTCTCAGTTCATCAGACACACTCTAAAATGTTGTGACATGCTAGATCATATTGAAGGCAATCCTCCTCTGGTTACTGCTCCTAATTTCTCTTCCTGGGATAAAGATGATTCTGCTATTATTACTTGGCTTTGGAACTCCATATCTCCAGAAATTAGTAGAAATTGCATGTATCTCTCAAGTGCAAAGGAAGTTTGGGATTATCTACGTCGAAGTTATTCCATGAAACAAGATATGTCTGCTTGTTATGATTTAAAGAGGAAAATATTCAACACTAAGCAGGGAAGTCTTTCGGTCAACGATTACTTTGGAGTTCTCAATGGTTTTTGGATTGAGTTGGATCAATATCAGAATTTGAAGATGGAGTGCAGCAAGGATACTGCCACCTTGAATACTGTTGTTGAGCGGGATAGGATCTTTGATTTCTTAGCCGGCCTTAATGCTGAATTTGACCCCATTCGGGTGCAGATTTTGGGTAAGGAAAAATTTCCTGATCTTAATGAAGTTTTTTACACTGTTCGTAGTGAGGAGACCCGTCGTCAAACTATGCTTCATGCACAGCCCCCGGATGTGTCAGCACTAGTAGCTAGAAAAACAACAAGACAAGGACCACCATCGTCATCATCTAAGAATGGTCGTGACAAATTCTATTGTGAGCATTGCAACCGATCAGGGCATACAAAGGATAGGTGTTTCAAACTACATGGAAGGGAACAGGTTCTTAGCCGAGGAGGTAGTTCTCGCAACATGCACCAGCATCAGGCACATGTTGTCACACATGCCCATGATACTGACAGATTTGAAAAAGAGGGAACTGATCTTTCCTCCTTCAGCCAGAATGACGTGGAACGGTTGAAGTCTATGCTTGACTCCATGAGTAAGCCTTCTGGTTCTGGGTCTCTAGCAGTTACCGGTAAGAGTTTGTGTTCCCGATCTTTTACTGTTTGTGGTAATATCCCTAAGAATGCGTGGATTCTTGACTCTGGTGCTACTAATCATATGACATTTGATTCCACATTATTATGCTCTTATACCACACCTTCGAGTATTCCTTATATCACTGTTGCTGATGGCTCTCAGGCTTGTGTTGTTGGCACTGGAAATATTGACTTGCAACCTCCATTTCAATTGCAATCCGTGCTTCATGTTCCCACACTTTCCCACAATTTGATTTCCATCCATAAGCTTACCCGTGATCTAAATTGTAAAGTAACGTTTTTTATGTCCCATTGTATTTTTCAGGACCTTACCACGGGGAAGACGATTGGAATTGCTAAGGAAAAGGAAGGGTTATACTACTTCTCTGATGACCATCCAAAGGTGTTGTCCTCCTGTCTCCAGTCTCAGTCTTCCTCTTCAGCCTCACACATTTGGCTTCAGCACAAGCGTCTCGGTCACCCTCCATTTTATATCATTAAGTCTATGTTTCCGTCATTGTTTTTAAACCATTCTGTTGAGTCTTTTAAGTGTGATGTTTGTCAGTTGGCAAAACACAATCGTGTAACTTTTCCTTCCAGTTTTAATAAAAGTGCTGAACCTTTTGATGTGATTCATTCTGATGTTTGGGGACCTGCCCCTACCTCTAATATTTTTGGTGCAAAATGGTTTGTTTCATTTATTGATGATTGTACTCGGGTAACTTGGATTTTCTTGATGAATACTAAATCCGAAGTACCACAAATATTTATCCAATTTTATAATATGGTACAAACACAATTTGGGAAATGTATAAAAAGAGTTCGTTCTGACAATGGTAAAGAATATGTCAATCATACCTTCTCCAACTTCACTAGTAAACATGGCATTCTTCATGAATTCACATGTGTTGACACCCCACAACAAAACGGTGTCGCAGAAAGAAAAAACCGTCATTTACTTGAAGTTGCTCGATCTCTCCTGTTTCAAATGTCTGTTCCCACCTCTTATTGGGGGGAGGCAGTTCTTACTGCTGCCTATCTGATTAATCGGGTCCCATCTCGAGTGTTAGGTAATATTAGTCCTGCTCAATTTATGCTCTCACGTTTTCCCTCTGTTCCTATCTTACATAATCTTGAGTCTCGCGTGTTTGGTTGTGTTGCTTTTGTTCATGTTCACAAACAATATCGCAACAAGTTGGATCCCCGTGCTGTCAGATGTATCTTTCTGGGTTATGCACCCAATAAAAGAGGGTACAAATGTTATCATCCTCCGAGTCGGAAATTCTTTGTCTCCAAAGATGTCACCTTTCATGAAAATGTGTCATACTTCACTCATTCTCAGTCTCAGGGGGAGAACATGAGTGACTTAGAGTCTGAGTCCGAGTTTCTGATCCTTGGTCCTAGCCTCCCGAGAACACCTGTCAGTGTTCCCTCTCTTGAACCCGAGTTGTCACCTAGTTTGAGTTTGAGTCCTAGTTCAACACCTGAATCTGAGTCAGTAATTGTTCCTGGTCCTTCAATGCCTTATGTTCCACAGGAATCAGCACCTTCAGCACCAACTCTAGTATATCAGAGAAGAAGTAAATCTGACCTTCTCCAGAAACAAATTCAATCGTCTGAACCGGAGGTAAGTACTGAAAATGATTCCTCAAATGATGATTGTTCTATTTCTGATACTTGTGACACTAATCCAGTTGATTTACCCATTGCTTTGAGGAAGGATAAAAGATCTTGTCCCTCCTTATATCGACACCCTATCTCTCAATATGTCTCCACTAAACATCTTTCCACACAATATCAAAGTTTTATTGCAGCTGTTGATTCTGTGAAAATCCCATTATCAGTTGAAGAAGCATTGCAAAATAGAAATTGGGTCCAAGCTATGGATGAGGAAATGAGAGCACTTGAAAAAAATGGTACTTGGGAGATTATTGAAAGGCAAAGAGACAAAAAGCCAGTTGGATGCAGATGGATCTATACCGTAAAGTATAAATCTGATGGCACACTTGATCGGTACAAGGCAAGACTAGTGGCAAAAGGTTATACTCAGACATATGGTATTGATTATGAGGAGACATTTGCCCCAGTGGCAAAAATGAACACTGTTCGAATTTTACTATCTCTTGCTGCTTCATGTGGATGGGAATTGCAACAGTTTGATGTTAAAAATGCATTCTTGCATGGAAACTTAGAGGAAGAAGTGTATATGGAGATTCCACCGGGTGTTGGCATAACAAATGAAGCTAACAAGGTGTGTAAATTGAAGAAAGCCTTATATGGACTAAAGCAGTCCCCTCGGGCATGGTTTGGAAGATTCACAAAGGCAATGGTGTGTTTGGGCTATAAGCAAAGTCAAGGAGACCACACTTTATTTTTTAAACATTCACAGGAAGGAAAATTGACTGTACTTCTTGTTTATGTTGATGATATTATTGTTACAGGAGATGATTTGACTGAGAGACATTTGCTTAAAGAGAAATTATCGGCAGAGTTTGAGATGAAAGACCTTGGACAACTCAAGTATTTCTTGGGAATTGAGGTAGCCTACTCAAAGCAAGGCATCTTTATCTCTCAAAGGAAGTATGTTCTTGATCTTTTGCAGGAAACTGGCAAACTTGGATGCAAACCTGCAAGTGTTCCCATTGAACAAAATCACAGGATAAGCTTTGAGGAGGAAAGTGACAAAGTTGACAAGGGTCAATATCAAAGATTAGTGGGAAAATTGATTTACTTGGCACACACTAGACCAGATTTAGCATATGCAGTCAGTGTGGTGAGCCAATTCATGCATGATCCGAGGGTGAGACATTTGCAGGCTGTAGACCGCGTCCTACAATATCTTAAAGCAACTCCAGGGAGAGGACTTTTGTTTAAAAGAGGTGAGAATTTAGCTATGAAGACTTACACTGATGCGGATTATGCCGGCTCAGTGAGTGATAGAAGATCTACGTCAGGCTATTGTACTTTTCTGTGTGGTAACCTTGTAGCTTGGAAGAGTAAGAAGCAAAGTGTAGTTGCTCGATCAAGCGCCGAGGCAGAATTTAGAGCTATGGCACTAGGAATTTGTGAACTATTGTGGATGAAACAAGTTCTAGAAGACTTGAAGATACAGTGTGAAGGCCCTATGAAATTGTTTTGTGACAATAAATCGGCTATTAGTATTGCTCATAATCCTGTTCAACATGACAGAACTAAACACATTGAGATTGACCGACATTTTATCAAAGAGAAGTTGGATAGTGGGCTGATAACTACATCTTACGTTCCTTCTGGGCATCAGCTCGCAGATGTGTTAACAAAAGGCTTACCAACAGAAAGATTCAAACAACTTACTTGCAAGCTGGGAATGATAGATATCCATTCACCAGCTTGAGGGGGAGTGTTGTAAATATTAGACTGTAAATAGTAATTAGTAGTATTAGTAATGAGGCCCATTAGTCAAACTCCATTAGGGTTTCTATTCTCTCTTATTTAAAGCATGTAGTTGCAACATTGTAAATAGTACTTTTAATTCTATCAGTGAAATATTTTACAATAATTCCTACCTTGCAAGTGCATATCAATATGATGATATGTACATACTAAGCCACTTGGAAAAGGCTATTCGTGATTGGTGAGTTATTTACATGAGATCTTAAGTTTGAATACTCATATTATTGTGGTAACCAAATAGAAAACATGTAAACAGTATAAGTCAGTTACATAGTTTTTAGTAAAAAACAACTACAGAAATATTTTTCCATAAGTTGGGCTCGGCTATCAAATAACATTTGTAATGTCCTAATGTGAATCTCGTCTAAATAGTTTTCAACAAATAATGCAAAGTACATAAAAAAAAGGGGAGAAATGACTGTCAGAAATTGTAAGAAGTACTTGCTCAAACTTGTAACATTGTTGTATAGGTTCTGCTGCTGGCTGGGGAAGAAAAGATGATGCTGGTGTGGTCAAGGTATGAGCATCTACTGACAATTGCACATTTACAATTGCTAAAAATTACATTATATGTGCCTAGGACAATAATTGCACATTTACAGCAGTACTTAATATTCTTTTCCTTCTCCTTTGACCCCCCACCCAAAAGCAAATCATCGGTACTGACAATGTCACAACTATCAGCTAGTGTGTTTATTCTCTAGCCATTAAAATGCTAAGATGATTTTGTTAAGAGAATATTAAACATTAGGTAAACAAACACTTTGATTAGAATAATCAGAAGGCTGTGTCAACTTTTTATACAGGTTTATGAGACACTTACTGGTGTTAGAGTTGAAGGAAAACTCGTGTCTCTCAGGAAAGATGCCGTGTTGCATTCTCTTCCACCAGAGTGGCCTCAAGATCATGTTCTTGACATTCAAAAATTAAAAGAAAGCAATTCAAAGATTTTGGTCGTTCTGGATGATGATCCAACAGGAACACAAACTGTTCATGATATTGAGGTATTAACAGAATGGTAAGTGTTGTTCAGTTTATTTTGTCATTTCTCAGTGCTTGGCAGAATCCATTCTACTTTTAATATTATAATATCATCTCAAACCAAACTTCCAAAACCACCACTATTTTTATGTGAGCTAATTTTAGTCATTTTTTATAATTAGTGATAGTTTAATCATTATGTTTGAACAAAAAGTAAGATGGTCTTTAAGAAGTAAAAACACAAGTTTTGATCAATTGGACATGATCCTGTGAATTAGACTTAGAGTTTGGCATAACTCAATCTTACAATATAAGGGATGTCACTCTATATAAACTCTTTTTAAGCTCTATGTTTAACCAATGTGGAAGTTGAGCTTTTCTCAATACTGTGCAGGACTGTTGATTCACTGACTGAGCAGTTTAGAAGATGTCCAAAATGTTTCTTCATTTTGACAAATTCCAGGGCGCTGAGTTCTGACAAGGTAAAGAGCTTAGTCAACATGTACCAATAAATCCATAACTTCTATTTAGGTATCAAATACAAAAGATATATGCTCATCTGTTCTCAATTATGGGCACAGATAAAAATTAAGAATACTATAAAAACTAAAATAGGCCACATATTTATGGGTTACAAAGCATAATACTGTATTCTATTATTTCCCTGTAACTGGAAAAGCATGCTATTCGAAGTACAAAGAAAAAGTGTTTGTCTTCACTTTCATTATTGACATGTAAGTTTGAGCTGAACAACGTCTTGAGCTGTAATAGTTGCAGCACTGAGGTATCTCGGTTATATCCAATAAAAGTACTAAGCTACCTGAGCCGTGTAATAGTTGCAGTACTGAGGTATATAGGGGCCATCCAATAAACACACCTCCAAATCCACGTAAGCTATGTAATAGTTGCATTGCAGCACTTGTGCATCTAACTGCATAGCATAAAATTCTTCAAAAGAAACCTGATGCATGAGCTGTTCTCCAAACCAGAGTCACAGCTATTAGATATTTCAACGATCAGTAATTTAGAGTGCCATGAAGTTCATAATTTACATTTAATCTTTGACAGGCCACTACATTGATAAAGGAGATTTGCAAAAATCTAGACACTGCAGCAAAATCAGTTGACAAAATTGATTATACGGTGGTTTTGAGGGGAGATTCAACTCTGCGCGGTCATTTTCCTGAGGCAAGGATGACATGTTTTAGCTCAGTAGTTATTGTAAACTATGATAGTGAGAATTATGCTTCAATTTGGAAAATGACACGGCTGTTGCTTACAGGAACCGGATGCTGTTACTTCAGTCTTGGGTGAAATGGACGCATGGATTATTTGTCCATTTTTCCTTCAGGGAGGCCGTTACACCATTAATGATACACATTTTGTTGCTGATTCCGAACTGTATGTCTTTCCATTCATAACTAAGTATAGGGATTATAAATTGATACAAAGTTATAATCCAACTTAATTTTGCCCGCAGGCTTATTCCTGCAGGGGAAACAGAGTTTGCCAAAGATGCTTCCTTTGGCTACAAATCTTCAAACCTACGTGATGTAAAAGTTTTTGTCCCTCTCTTTTATTTGATCCATTTAATTTATATTTTCTTATTATTTTAAAGGAAAATAGTGGTTTCAAGTGTTTTTTTTTTCAAATATAGTGGGTAGAGGAGAAAACAAATGGCCGCATACTTGCAAGTAGCGTTGTATCTATTCCTATCCACCTTTTGAGGAATGGGGGGCCAGATGCAGTTTGTCAGCATCTATCCAGTTTGCAGAAGGTATGCAAAATTAGAGATATGGTTGATTCTCTTCAGTTTCTAAGAACATGCTGGTTTTTTTTGCCTAAGCAAGATATTATGATTAAGTAGAGAGGTATTCAATTCACTTACTGAGATTAGTATATTGTATTAAGCAGGGGTCAGTATGCATAGTTAATGCAGCCAGTGAAAGAGACATGACTGTATTTGCCCTTGGAATGATCAAGGCAAAACTTCTTTCTCCTTTTTTATGTCCCTCCCCCCCCCCCCCCCCCTTCTGCGTGTTTTGTTACTGATGAAAATCTTCTTCTATTGTTATGACTTATTAACAGGCAGAGTTGTCAGGGAAACGTTTCTTGTGTCGCACTGCTGCTAGCTTTGTATCTGCCTGTATCGGAATCATCTCTAAGCCTCCGGTGTTGCCAAAGGATCTAGGAATAGCTGAAGCAAGGAATGGAGGTTTGATAATTGTGGGATCTTATGTTCCAAAAACGACAAAGCAGGTGAAATTTTTTATCATGTTATTGATATCTAATTTCCCAAGCAAGTCCATTTTCTCATTTTTTTCCTCCCATGCTTATAATCCCAGGTTGAACAGCTTAAATTACAGTGTGGTCAGTTCTTAAGAAATATCGAGGTGATTGACACCCTAATTTTCTTTTCATCATTTGTTAATTTAAATCCTCTCATGTAAAGAAATAAATAAAATCTGTTTAGTGAGAGCATTCATTTTTATGTTTAGTACAATCTCTCTTTTTAATTTTATTTGCTGGTCTAATTAAGATTTTTTTGTAATAGGTTTCTGTTGAAAAACTTGCAATGGGGTCTATTGAGGAGAGGGAGGATGAAATCAGTAGAGCAGCTGAATTAGCGGACGTATATCTTAAATCTCATAAAGACACACTTATAATGACCAGCCGAAATCTCATAACTGGGAAATGTTCGTCTCCATTTTTTTTAAATTTCTTCTTTCCACTTCTTTCTTGCCATGATTTTATAATTTTTCTAGCATTCAAGATCAACTCTAAGACAGCTTTTCTATTCTTGTTATGACCATACAAAGAATGCTAGTGCATTTAAATTTGGGAAACAATTTTTATGCCCCTCATTTTAATCTTCTAGTTTATTTTCAAACTTGCAGCTGCCTCTGAGAGTTTGGACATTAATTATAAAGTGAGTTCTGCTCTGGTGGAAATATTGAAGAGAATAACGATAAAACCTCGTTACATAATTGCAAAGGTACTCTATGTTTAAATGACCTAGTGAACATGCATTCTTCTGTTTAATTTGTTACATGTTTGTATTAAGAGCTAATATTTAAATATTATTGATTATGTATAGAAGATTTTGTTGCATATCCATCTCACCTTCTCCTTTTTATAAGTTAATAAAATATTTCTGTTCATGTTTGATGGTTGATCAGATAATACTCAATGACACACTTTTTTTTGAATGTGTTCCAAGTTTTGATCTAACACTGACAAATAGTACTTTTTCTAGGGTGGTATTACCTCTTCAGACCTTGCTACAAAAGCCCTTGGTGCAAAATGTGCCAAGGTTGTTGGACAAGCACTCGCCGGTATTCCCTTGTGGCAACTAGGCCCTGAAAGTAGACATCCTGGAGTTCCTTATATTGTCTTCCCAGGTAAGTTTTTGTAATTTTCCATTTTTTAAACTCATTTTCTAACTAATTCTGAGTATTTGGTACTGTAAAATCTATACCATCATTCTAGATATCGTTAATTAACTAGAATAGTCTGTCTTTGGTAGGTAATGTTGGTGACAGCGGGGCATTGGCAGAAGTTGTGAAGTCCTGGACTTGTCCAACGAGTCTTTCATCAACAAAAGAGATTCTTAAAGTAAGGATAATCTGGTTTGTGGTTTTACAGTAAGTATTAGTGAATATTGATTTTTGTTCTTTTTGCCATATAGAATGCAGATAATGGTGGATATGCTGTTGGAGCATTTAATGTCTATAATTTGGAAGGAGTTGACGCTGTTGTTTCTGCTGCAGAGGAAGAGAAAAGTCCTGCAATATTACAGGTCAGAAGCACACTTAAAGCCAAAAGGGATCTTGAGTGAGATTTGTTAAATATAAAACCATTTCGATATGCTTTCACGTACCAACCTAGGATAGTTTGTTCATTGATAAATTGCTAAAATTAATGACATCTCTAAAGTGGAAATTCTAAAATTTCTAAGAATAACATAATACATATAACTCCATGATCCTCCATTATTTTCAACTTCCATCCTAGAAAATTGCACTATTATGGCTTGGTGATCAAATTCGTTTAAGGGAATAATAGAAATATTATAGCATGCAGAGTTTTGGATTAATTTTGAAGCAACTAAACTTTATTGCATTGCTGATCAATTGTTTCAAATAAGATATTTAAAAGATATTATGATATATTTTCTTTTATTCTAACATGTTAGTAGATTATAAGAAAGTATATCATAATATCTTATGATGTCTTTTATATTATATTAGAATATCTTAAGTTATTTCTATTTCTCTTCTCCTTACCTTATCTATAGTACTTTTGTATAACCTATATAATATACAGATTCATCCCGGTTCTTGGAAGCAAGGAGGAATTCCCTTGGTTGCTTGTTGCATTTCTGCTGCAGAGCGTGCTAGAGTAAGTGGCAATGATTATTTGATTATTTTATTTCATTTAATTTATCTTTCTTCATTTTTTAATAAGAACGCAAAATTATTTGAAGTGAATAGACATCTAAATACTACTACTAAATAAAGATAAGTTATTTGTCAAGATGAAACAAGGGAGGCCTTATAAAATAAAACAAAAAAGTTTGTCTCACCATTTTCTTTTGCAATTTTTTAAGATGAATCTAGCATTTCTAGATTTTTTTTTCCAAGCATGTCTTTCATCATCTCTCTAGCACGGTTAAGCACTATATGAGTTTTTCATGTTCTTGTTAGCAATTTAAAAGAAAAAAAAAGAAATTAAAGAACTGGAAATGTTTTCAGAAAGTAAACGGAGACTTGGTGTTTCATATTCTTTGGATGGCTCAAAAGAAACTAGTATCATTTAACAAAATAAATGAGGATTTTACTAAGTATTTAATTTGCAGTGATCATGTATGGGTGAGGAGAGCACGGAGATCTGTATTTAGACTTGGATAAATATTAGTTTGTGTTTTGTTAAATTTCACTATCAATATTTCTATCAGGTGCCCATCGCCGTTCACTTTGATCATGGAACTTCAAAGCAAGATCTTATGGAAGCTCTTGAACTGGTAATTTTCATTTCTACTTGTGCTTACAGCACAAATTCAATATCAAAGATGATGTGACATGCATTTATGGTCAGTTATTGCTTTATTATCTCTATACTTTTCTAAAGTATTATGTGTTTGAATGAAACAATTCCAGGGATTCAGTTCTATGATGGTGGATGGGTCACATCTTTCGTTTGATGAAAATGTTGCATACACAAAATTCATATCATTGTTGGCTCACTCAAAAGATATGTTGGTTGAAGCTGAGTTGGGAAGATTGTCAGGGACAGAGGACGACTTGACTGTCGAAGAGTATGAAGCCAAGCTAACAGATGTTAATATGGTCATGATCTCCTCTATAATATAAGATCTCAAACTATTCTTCATTGCTTGACATTGCTAATTTTATTAATGCCGGTCTCATTAATTTCAGGCTGAAAAATTCATTGATGAGACTGGCATAGATGCTTTGGCAGTGTGTATTGGTAATGTGCATGGAAAATACCCGGCAAGTGGACCAAATCTCAGACTAGATTTGCTTAAGGTGATAATAAACTTTTGCGTGTAATATCCATCGAAACCATAGTTGATATTTCTTTTCAGTCTGAGGTTTTGACATTCTACAATGTTTAGGAGCTGCATTCTTTGAGCCAGAAGAAAGGAGTTTTTATAGTGCTTCACGGTGCATCGGGTCTGGGCGAAAAACTTGTTAAGGTACAGTCATCTACATAATATTTTTGAGAAGTCAACTTTATGTTTTGTCTCTGACTTCCAAGTAGCATGTACATGCTATGAGCACTGAGTTAAGGATAGAGTTGCAACTACATCACATATATTGCTAACCTTGTAAGAGCTTCTTGATTCCTGACAGGAATGCATAAATCTAGGAGTTAGAAAGTTCAATGTCAACACTGAAGTAAGAAAAGCATACATGGACTCTCTCGGTACTCCTCAAAAAGATCTTGTTAATGTTATGGCTTCTGCAAAGGAAGCTATGAAAGCTGTGGTTGCCGAAAAGATGCGTCTGTTTGGTTCAGCAGGAAAAGCATGA